CCTTGTAATCCCCCATAGGGCCGAAGCATGTCTGCTCTTAAATGGGTTAGGATTTAGGGTTAAAAGTTTAGGGTTTAGGATTTAGGGTTTAGGGTTTAGGATTTAGGGTTAAAGGTTTAGGATTTAGGGTTTAGGATTTAGGCTTTAGGGTTTAGGATTTAGGGTTCATGATTTAGGGTTTAGGGTTTAGGGGGGGTTTAGGGGTTCGGGTTGAGGCTACAGGGGCTTGTAGTTAGGATGTTGAGATGTCGGGTTTAGCGTTGGGATTCGTGTGGCTTGGGGTTGTAGCTTCGAGTTAGAGTTTACATAGTTTGGGGCCTAGCATAAGGTTTAGGATTGGTTGTGGGGCTCCGGGGGTGAGGGAGCGCAGCTGAAAGCTCATAACTCTAAAGGCGAACTTGCCAGACAACAACACCCTAAACCCTAAACCCTAAAAGAGCGGCCAGGAGTGAAGTCCAAAAGTGATCTAGCTCTAACATGTTCACCCCTTGAATAAGGGTTCCTGGGTTGTACCCCTAAAGTCGCACCCCTAAAGGTTTCTCCGATACATCCCTAATCTAGCCCTTATCACCCCTCAAACTTCAAAAAGCCTCAATCCTGAAGCCTGCTGACCATGAAGGACGGATTCTGTCAAGTTCCCCATTCTTTGGGACAAGCTGCTGGAGACGGTGCTCCTGGATATATCAAACGAGGCCTAGTCCTTCCTTTCCTTTGTAGGTTTGCTTCCCTTGAACAAGGCGTGGCAATGCAGAGCACCTTGCCCCCAGCCGTGTTGCGCGTCCTGCATAGGAGCTATAGTCTAAACTCCTTGAAGGGGGCTATAAAGGGGATGATATAGGGATAGGGCTCATTATGGGGCATACGAGGAGCTTACACTCTAGCTCATATGGGTTGTTCTCAAGTATGGGCCCCTTTGGGTTCTAGATTATTTTACGGCACCTAATATCTAGGGGTACCGAAATGGGACACTAATTTTGGGAGATATGATTCGAGGGCCATTCCTTTAAGTTCTTGAGCCCGAAATGGAAACAACCCATGATCCTTGTGGCCCTAAACAGTCGTAAAGAGCAGCCAGGGTCCTTGAAGTACGGCCACTACGTGGATCAAGAAGTGGAGTCCATCGACCAGACAAAACTTGACACCGGCTTTAATTGGTTGCAAAGTCATTAGGAGCTTTTGCAGAAACATAGGTCCCTGCTGGAAGTCTTGCAAGTCTGCGTTGCCTTGGGCACGGCGGGCAGTGGTAACTGGTCATCCATGGAAAGTCTGTGTTCAGGCTGCAGTAGGCACGAAGGCAATCCTCAAGACAGAAAGTACTTGTCACAGTGGCGTGGCCTTGCGGCGGACGTGGTGGTGGTGGCTATAGTGGCTGCGGCATGCCGACGCAGTAGTTTGGATCTTTGATATCAGGATCGCAAAAAGTTCCTGCTTCAACTACAGCCGGACAGTTGCTGCAGCATCAGTGTCAGCAAGAGGACAATGTCTCGCTGGTTCGAAACGCCTTGGTATTTATGGCAGTGAAGATGCTATCTAGCATGGTCCGGACGTATCGCAAAACATGACATATGAAAACGTCCCTAGAATCCGTAAGGGTACTGCAGTTGGTGTCAGGGCCCCATAGAAGCCAAGGAAGAGACTTTGAGCGCTGTGGCTAGCTCCGTCAAATCTGCCAAGTGGACTGCAGATGGGGCTGCTTTGAAAGCACCTGGGGGCTTCGAGATGAAATGCTTTCTCGAGGCACCGGAAGTGCCAAATGGAAGGGTCTGCTTAGGCAGTCCGAGGACTAAGGCGTCGGCCTTATCGGCTTTTGCGCTTGAAGTCTAGAAGTTTAGGGGTTTAGGGCTCTAGGTCCGCGATTGGTCCCGGATAACCGTGTTAGAGATTTTCAAGCTGGCAAATGTGGCAAATGTGGGATTCTGTGTTGTGGCTAGAATATTCTTGGGTCGAGCAGGAGGGGTTTCAGGCTAGCATTGGCGGTTCTCCTAGTATCCCCATCTGTTCCCATGTTGTTGCCGCAATGTAGTTCGTATCAGGGACGACGATGCGGAGCGCCCAGATAAGAACTCAGTTACAATTCCTTCAATCGGCCCCATCCCTACAACCGAATTCCCTCTCTGCCCCTTTCTGTCTCTGTCTCAATGTACATATGTATATATGTACTGTATATGCGTGTCTCTCTGTGTGAGTGTGCATGTGTGACTGTGCGGGTATGATATATATGTATATATATACACATACACACAGAACATACATGAGTGTATGTGAGTAACTTCATGACTTGTACACTCCATTAGTCTAGAGCTAAACCTTCGGCCCCTAAACCGGAAACCCTGTACCCTACATCCTAAACCCTATAAGCCATAGCTATTCCCAGGTGGAGGAGGAAGAAGACTACATCATCGCGGTCCAAACGCCCGCGCACTCCTTGGTAGTTGGCAACATGGAATGTCTTAAAATCAGGGTTCCCAGGGTATGTGGTTGCCGGCTTGCTATCTTATGTGTAGGGTGTAACATTGCAAGGACTTTCTGTAAGCAAAGGTTGTACCCCACGTAAACAGACAGCTGCCTGAAAAGCCGCAATTGTCACGTCCCATGCTTGTTGCGAACACTTATCTTTTTCTGTCCACCCTCTGGATCTTGATTGCACCTGTGACGAGGATGGCGACCAAAAGGGGCCCCATCCCTGTGATCTTTGGCACTTTTGAAGCATACCGTGGGGGGTGGGGGCAGGGGTGGATACCATGGAGGTGGGGGGGACTGGGATGGCACAGCGCAGGAGCAATTGTCTTGCTTGTGTTAAGGGGCAGTGAGAAAGAAACTGCAGGTGCTGCTGTAGCGGTTAGAGGGTTTCGTGTCCGAATCCATTCCCGCCGTCCCAGTTGATCTATAGTCTAATCTCCTAGTATCCACATCGTTAACCCCCATAATACTCCTCTGTATGATCCCCTTGATAACTGCCTTTAAGGAGTTTAGATACTGGCTCAGTCAAGCACCAGCAAGGTGTTTGCGATGCCTCTTACCAATGCTTTGGGGTGTCGTAGTTAGGCCAGCCAGGCATAAAGCTTGCTACTAATCTGTACTGTAGGCGGGCAAACAAGTACCAACATCATGGCCCTAGGTTCCTTGCATCATCATAGTATAGCAATAGATCCGAACATGATATTGGTCAATAGTCAGGCCCCTACAGTAGGCCCAAAGGAGTTGGGGATACCAGTGTTAATCTGAGGCAACATCGGTTGCCATCCCTTCGTGGAGCTGGACTCTCGTGCTGTTTGTGTTTGATGTAGAGCCCTGATCAAGTCCCTGCTCCAAATATTAAAGCCGTCCATGTCCTGGTATGAAATACTCCCATGGATGAATTGTAATATACTTGAAGTGGTTAATATTAGGGGGGATGGAGGGTTGTCATACTACATGGAGGGGGTCAATACAAGCAAGTTCTAGTGCCACCCATATACATTTGCAATGTATATAGATCAGAGGTCTACATGAAACGTTGTGTTTCGTCTTCGCCTGAGGATGTCTGAACTTATGCGTGAGACTTGCTGCACCAACAAGCAATCGGGACATTAGCCCGAAGCGGTAGCAATAGGGATGTCCATAGTCCTTCTGCAAGGCCAGCTGTAGGATCTTCGACATAACTCTAACATTCCCAGGGAGCCCAAGACCCTTAAATTCAGCAGTATACCTTGACTTCTCTTAGGTATGCTACTTATTTAAGGGTATATTCCTCAGTTTGAGTGGCATTGGGCCGAAAAGTGGTTTGGGTATGATTGTTGTTTGAAAATGCTCTTGGAAGTCCCTTCCAGCCCTAAAGCCTAAATCGCATTTAGGGTTTAGGGCTGCGGGTTTAGAGTTGGGACTAGGCTACACCGGGAATGGATTAGGTTGGGCGACCATCCCTCAAGAAAGGTCAGTATATGGCCAGTATATGGTAGATTCTCAAAACTGTCGTCCCTCTTTTTACTTGGAACATTGGTCCAGAAGGGGACCATGTTGTTGGCAACCAACCATATCAAGGCTTCTGCTCAATACTAAATGAGGAGGAGTGCTACTACATAGCCTTAGGGGCCAAAGTACCTGCATCATTTCTACTCAGGGTCTAAGGCGCTTCTTTCCCACGTAGGTGGTTGTCTACAACATGGCACTTGGACCTTTGCAGGGTAGCGCTATACTTTAAGCCCCAAACCCTGAACCCAGCATCAACAACAGGCCCAAGTTGCCCCAAACCTGTAAAGATAGCCAAAGTAGGCTCTTAGCCAACCCTAACCCTAGAAGCCCAGTTACCTATATGTTGGGTTCCTGTCCTTGGGTCTCTATATGAACTTTTACTATCTATAACCCAAGAACCTACTATATGGGTACCTGGGCTTCTAGGGTAAGGGTCCAAGTCTTGAATAATCGTACACCGATCCAAAACCTGTCTTATGATTAGCAGTTACAGTTCCCAAAGCCCTAAGTACCCTAAACCCTAAACCCTAAGACCCTCAACCCTAAGTACCCAATTGTTGGGCACATTGATTTTTAGGGCCGCATTTTTTTCGGGCTCAGGTAAAGGGGATCCCAAGCCCTAAATCCCTGAATTATATGGTCCCTTCAAAGGCGTTGTAGGGGGATATAAGGGAGAATATAAGGGTTTTTAGGACCCAAATAATAGGGATTTAGGGCCCAAATCCCTTCAAGTTGATCCCTAAACTCCAGCCCTGAGGAGTGGATGTGGTTCGGCAACTCAGATGGCTCCACGTTCCAGCCTGCACCCGGGCCATGCAAGAAAGCCAGGATTCCTAAACCCTAAACTTTACACGCTAGATCCTAAACCGAAACCCTAAACCCTAAAATCCTAAACCCTAAAATCCTAAACCCTAAAGCCCTAAACCCTAAAACCCTATACCCTAAAACCCTATACCCTAAAATCCTACACACTATCCCCTAGCACTGAAACCCGCAACCCTGAAGGCTAAACCCCAAGCCGTGGGTTTACAAGGAAGTATACCGGGGGTTTCGCAAAGGAGTGTCTATCAGATCTAGGGAGATATGGAGGTTACAGGGACATTCCAAGTGTCCCCCTGGGTTCTCCCAATCAACCCAATGGACCTTCACAGCATAAGCGTCCTTCTAGGGGGTCCTAAACCCTACGTATACCCTAAACCCTACCCTACTGTGTCACAGACTGCATTTGTCATCTTTGGGGAATATGGTAGACGTCGAGCATGGTGTGCTTTGCATGGGTGCGTTTGTTTTATTGTGGTTTGCGGTGCATACGTTCAGCTCGATGCTTCAAGCTTTTGTAGCCGGCGCGGGCTATAGAGAGGGAACATCAGGCCTCAACAAGACGTTGGATAAATGAAGGTTTCCCAAATTTAGGCAACAGCTTGCGTTTCATCGCCGGCTGTCAAGCTGTAGGACGTTCTGGCTGACGTTGGCTCACAATGACCTAATCCACCTGCTTTATGCAATCTGGAAGTCTAGAATGCGCACTTGGTAGTTTCCATAAGAAGGTGGACCCCATAGACCCCAATATGCTCTAATCCTTAGCATGGGACCCCCCGAAAAGTGACCTGGTGGGAGCTTGCACTTGACAGCCAAGGGGCCGGCGCCTAAAATAGCGAAGGATGCGCAGAAGCTGTGTCAGAAAGCAATTGCTGATGCCAACAAATTTATGTTCAACCAGGAGCACTAGCCTCAAGCTGCTGACAGC